GTTCCTCCCATAGACTCCCATTCAGTTTTTACCCAAACTGTAACCCTGTTTCTACCTTTGCCCAACAGACACCAAAATGCATGTACTACCTCAGGACAGGTCCTCAAGCTCTTATCCACAGCCATACTGACCCGCACTCCTCTATGTGTCGTTTTTTCATCCCTCGTTCCTCACATAGACTGCCATTCGTTTTCAACACATAGCCAACACTTGGCAACTCCTTACGAAAAGCTATACGCACACTCCATACACCATGGCAACCGCCTAGGAATAATTTATCAACGGCATGGGGTGTCATAGCAACTGCCTGGCAACACTGTAGCAACCACCTGGGATATCATAGTAATTGCTGCGCAACCATCCCTTCAGGAAATGCACGTTTAGTTATTATGTTTTATTGCAGTTCTAATCAGATGAACCTGCCTCTCCCCTTTTAGATGCCCCTGAATGCTTATACACAACAATATATCTCCATCACAAAAAGACCAGTTAAACAGGCTGATAGACCAGACTATGGCAGGTGGTTATTCTATTTAGAGCTGAGCAGAGCGTTGTAAACACATCCTCTAGTCAAAGTATTGCAATTTAATAAAAAAAGTAATATAATAACTGCAGCAAAAGTTTCCAAACAACAACAACAACTTGAGCAGAGTAACAAGAAGTACTGAGTAACTTACAGAACTGCTCTATTAGCGTAAGAACTGAACATTTTTAGGCCTCTATTCTTCTCACTTTGGATCCTTTTGGTCTAAAATAAAACGCTAAAGCTCCGAAGTGAGAAGTGTGAGCAACAGCAAAGCTGTTCAGAATGAAATTAAACCCCAAAAAACAAAAAAGAGAATAAAGAACTAATTAGGAAAGAAAAAAACAGAACTCATTAGTGAAAAAGTACAAATCAATGGGACTAGACTCCGCCCACCTCTGCTTCCGTACCAGCACAGATTTTAATGGTACCTGACAGATACAGGGTGTCTAAGAATCCATAACTTGTATGAAAATTACATTTTACAAATTAAAAGCCTTAATAAGTAACAGACTGTCTTAAATTTGAAGCACCACAAATATGTGACATCACCACATACACACTGAATAATATAGGGTTGCTATGGTGACACAAAGGCATGCTTTAAACTCGCATTACTTACTGCTGAGCTTGCATGCATGATACACAGAACCAATATGTTTGCGAGTTACTCTGAAGAGCGGTATATTGGTACATACATAAATTTGGAGCCATTTAAAAGTTTTAAAGCATTAAATCGAACCTAAGGATGCTTGTAAACGAGTGTTGCACCCTTGGCAATATTTCCTCCCATAAAATAGTGGAGTTCCAGTTTCCAAGTGCGTCCCAAGACCTGACAGGGAACTTCAATGTGTTTCATTTACTGAGTGCTTCAGTTAAAGGGACACTCCAGCCAAAATTAAAAATGGAACTGTCGCTACATCTGTTGTAAACGTGCTTACTCTCCTCCTACAGCAGCGCTGCAGTAGTAGTGAGACTTCCAGGTGAAAAGATGAGGGAAACCCCCTTCTGATGATGTATTTTGAAGGTGGGCGTAACTTCTGAATGTGGGTGTAAATTCTGAATGACTAAGTGCTTTGGGGGATACTGTTTGAATTTGTTTTGTATAAAGTAAAAAGTCTGAGGTCACTGGTATGTTCCACAGACCACTATATCAGATTAATTTGCGTAATGCATGCTGGGTATTGTAGTGAGAGAACGATACAAAACTGTGAATTCTGTCACAACAATGAGGCTGAGAAGTGCAATGCAGGACTGCAGACCATAACACAACCTAATAAACAAGAATAACTGCTAGTTTTAGGCTGGATTGCCCCTTTAATTCAAAATACAAGAAAATTAAACAGTAAACTTTCTGTAAATGTGCTTTCTGCCCTGTTAGGGTTTACAATACTCTGATATTCACTTCGGTGCAACATTTAAGGAAATAAAACATAAAACAAGCTCAGGTTCGTAGCAGCACTCAGGAAGCATGGGCGCCCTGGCTTAAAGGGCCCGTATCCAACATTCTTTATGAATTCATGCACCAAAAATAGTTTTTCTAGCCTCTCTTTATCCCCTAGAACTAAATTAGGCTGTTTGTGCTACTGTGCCTCTAAAATATATGTAAATGAGCTCTGTTCTGACTGGCTGCCCTGTACTGTGCCTGTTCAAAAGCAGGCCAGGCTGAAACACTCCTTATAACTTTAGTGTGAACAGAAAGGAGATACTGTAATGTAAATTAGCTGAATTTTGTGACATCACAAAGGCAATTAATTCACGACGGGATGTTTCAGCAGCTGAGCTTCTACATATGGACTGTTTGGAGTGCGGAGTTAATTTTTTTAAGCTTTAAAGAGGTAAAATTTAGTTTTCCGTGATGTGGACCCTTTAATGTAAACATCATCTGACAGCGTGGTACTGAACCGTACCGATATCGCCCATCACCAGCTCCGACTTACGCGCCGACGTTTCGGTTCGTTCGTGGGACGCTGCCAACACAGGACAGAACACATCCTCCTCACCTGACCGAGTCACGCGGGTAGGAGTTGGAAAGTTTGGAAAGCTTTTGATTTCGTGCGTCAAACTGAGGCCGAAGGTATGAAAGAAAAGGCGAACGGGGAGGAGGAAGAGGAGGAGGAGGGGGGTTTGGGGGGGTAACAGCACTTCGATAAAACATCAGAAATCAAACCTCCTCAGTCGGCGGTGCAGTGGGGCTTCACTGGTAAAAAGAAGTGCCCTCTTTGTCTGAGGCCCTTCCACACACACACACACACACACACACACAGAACCCATGTCACACACATCAGACAAAACGGCTTGTTTACAGTTGGCCAGAGCCACAGCGCACACACACACACACACACACACACACACACACACACACAGTGAGAGGCCCAGGGTTTATTTAAGAACTTTTTCCCCCTCCAGAGAGGGGGAGGAGAGAGAGAGAGAGAACGAAAGAAAGAGAAAGGCAAAGACAGAAAGAAGAGAAAAAACAAGAAAACGAGAGAAAGTAAGAGAGAGAAAGAGACAGAAAGGAGAGAGAGAGAGAGAGAGAGAGAGAGAGAGAGAGAGAGAGAAAGGTAAGAGAAAGAGAGAAAGGAAGAGGGAGAAAGAAAAATACAGAGAGGGAAAGACAGAAAAGAAAGAGGAAAAACAAGAAAACGAGAGAAAGTAAGAGAGAGAAAGAGAGAGGGGTGAGAGAAGGAGGGAGAGAGAGAGAGGGAAAGACAGAAAGGAGAAAAGAAATAAAGAGAAAGAAAGGAATGAAGGAGGAAAGAGAGAAAGAACAGAAAGAAAAGGAAGACAGAGAGCAAGACAGAAAGGAGAGAGAAAAACGAGAAAACGAGTGAGAGAGAAAGTAAGAGAGGGGGCGAGGGAAGGAGAGCGAGAGAGGGAAGGAAAGAAAAAGAACAAGAAAAAACGACAACACGAGAGAGATTGAGAGAGAGAGAGACGTGGGTTCAACATGTAGAAGAATGTGAAAAGTTTCCCTTCCCTGCACACCCACCTAACAGACCCCCACAGACCCCCGCAGACCAGCAGACAGCGGGTTACGGCTCCATTCATTCCGTTAAACGTGACGGGCATCGAAACGGTCGAGCCGCACGCAGAGAAAAGTGCAACTGCGGCGCTCAGACAGGCGGTTTGGGACGCAGCCCGGCCGTTAGCCGAGTTCAGTTAGCAGCGACGAGGAAAAACACAGCGCGTTCCCGACGCACGGCCGGCCGTGGAGACGACGAGAGGAGACAGATAATGCGCTTTTGTGAGCCCCCCACGCAGAACCGCACCGCGCTGCACTCATTTCACGACTACGGTCTCCTCGGAGTGAATAAATGGGCATCGGTTCACGATCGAGCCCAGCGCGCCGCGCCGAAACGCGGAGACTCAGCGAAAGTAAACTCCTCAAACCTCGACCGTGTTCGGGGGGCAGGGGCGGGGGGGGGCGCCCACCGTGCCAGGATGGCGAGTTTTTTCTCCGCTTGGCACGGGGGGCGCGAGGCTGGTGGGAGAAATGCGGCAGGAGGAGGAAAGGAAAGGAAAAAGGGGCCTCCAGCGTCTCATTCGAATTTTCCCGTTCCACCTTAAATGGTGCAGCAGTTACATTCTGGCTGCCCCTCGGGGCAGCCAGAATGTAACTGCTGCACCATTTAAGGTGGAACGGGAAAATTCGAACAGGCAGCGGCCGTTAGCCACAGCTAGCCGCCCATCGTCCATGCGGTTCAGGCGGGCACGGAGAGGCAGCACGAGTGCAGCGCTGGGGGAGTGATTTTTAAGGCTGAAGCTGGCGGATTGTTTTTTTTTCCTCCTCTTTCTCTCTTTCTCCTTTATTTCAAAAGCCCGGGGGGGGTCGCTTTCTGACGCGAACACAAGTCCGAATTTAATCTCACGCCTCGAAAAAGAAATTCAGAATAGCCCACCTGGTCTTATTTCACAGACATCAACAGGTCATCCCGGGACAAACGCAGGAACTGACTGACTGGGGGCGAGCCGGACTGAACCAACGCAGACAGTAACGGGGGGGGGCGGTGTGGAGTGGAGTGGAGAGGGGGGATTTCGCCAGACATTGCTGCTAAGTACCGATTAAATTTGTTATAAAGCACAGCACTAAACTGTTTTCTTCATCAAACCCGTCCTGTTTTTTTCTCTCTTTTATTAATTATTATTATTTTTTTAATATTTAGACTCGGTAAAACGGCGGCGCTGAGAGGACCGTGAAGCGGTTAAACTTTCTTCTTCTTTTGTATGTGTGTCGGTACCGTTCGTCTGCGCCCATCCCCCCACTACCACGAAAAAAAATGTCCACAAAAATCCGCAGAAAAAAAAACAAGACCGACAGATTAAAAACAAACACAAGAGAAGCGCGCGAGACGTGCTCGGGACGTGCTCGCGCTACCCACCGCAACCTCACGCGACCCCGACTCTTTCCGCAGAGCCGTCCGTTAAAGTCCGTTGATAGGAACGATCGACGAGCGGCAACGATAAAGATACTCACCCGCTCCGCTTCGCTCGAGAGCCGTTACGAAGCGCTTGGATGGACGCGTCCGACACGCTCGCGCTCTCCCTCACTTTCTCGCTAGAAACGGCCATTCATTGTGAGGCGAGGGCCAGGCCGTGCGGTCGATCGCAGAGCGATCGAGCGCAAAGTCCCTTCTTTCTGTTCTTTTTCTCCCGGAGTCACGCGGAGCTCAGAGTCACCGATCGGGCAGAGCGAGACTAGACGCGGTCGCGTCACTCAATCAGAGAATGTGTAGAGGGAGGGGAGACCTGCCACTCAGTACTGTGTCCCAGGGTTGACAGATGCTAGAGGGCGCTCCCGAGCGGCGAGCCCAAAATGAATGGATGCATATGGAGTATTCGAGCAAAATCACGAGCTGCATTCCGTTCCCAACGCACTTCCATTCCCTACACACTTCCATCCCCTACACACTTCCATTCCGTACACACTTCCATTCCCTACGCACTTCCATTCCCTACGCACTTCCATTCCACACACATTTCCATTCCCTACACACTTCCATTCCCAACACACTTCCATTCCCTACGCACTTCCATTCCCAACACACTTCCATCCCCTACACACTTCCATTCCCTACACACTTCCATTCCCTACGCACTTCCAATCCCAACACACTTCCATTCCCTACACACTTCCATTCCCTACACACTTCTAATCCCAACACACTTCCATTCCCAACACACTTCCATTCCCTACGCGCTTCCATTCCCAACGCACTTCCATCACCTACACACTTCCATTCCCTACACACTTCCATTCCCTACGCACTTCCATTCCCTACGCACTTCCATCCCCTACACACTTCCATTCCACACACACTTCCATTCCCAACACACTTCCATTCCCTACACGCTTCCATTCCTTACGCACTTTCCTGAACACAGAACAGCATAAACCATTTTAACACTGCTGTTATATTTATAAGCACTTTTAAACTCGAGTTATAGGAGTTTAAAAAGGCGCCTCATGTACTTCAAAGATGTAAGTGAGCCAATGAGCTGCTCTGCTCACCAACCAATCAGCTCTCAGTAGCAGTAATGCTAACCAATCAGCTCTCAGTAGGAGTAATACTAACCAATCAGCAGTCAGTAGCAGTAACGCTAACCAATCAGCTCTCAGTAGCAGTAATACTAACCAATCAGCTCTCAGTAGCAGTAATACTAACCAATCAGCAGTCAGTAGCAGTAACACTAACCAATCAGCTCTCAGTAGCAGTAATACTAACCAATCAGCTCTCAGTAGCAGTAACACTAACCAATCAGCTCTCAGTAGGAGTTATACTAACCAATCAGCAGTCAGTAGCAGTAACGCTAACCAATCAGCTCTCAGTAGCAGTAACGCTAACCAATCAGCTCTCAGTAGCAGTAATACTAACCAATCAGCTCTCAGTAGGAGTAATACTAACCAATCAGCAGTCAGTAGCAGTAACACTAACCAATCAGCTCTCAGTAGCAGTAATACTAACCAATCAGCTCTCAGTAGCAGTAATACTAACCAATCAGCAGTCAGTAGCAGTAACACTAACCAATCAGCGCTCAGTAGCAGTAATGCTAGCACCCTACAGCCCGAAACCCGTTTGCTGTAGAAAATAGGAAATATATTATTACATTTTCTTCGTATTTTCAGTAAAACACATCCTTCTGCTTTCCAAAATGAAAGGAATGTCCTGGAAAAACTGTCAGAAACTTTTTAACCTTTCGCTTTTAGCCGCTTAGCTCCATTGACCCCCATTCATTGAGGACTCGCTCGCGGGCGCCCTCTGGCGTTCAGCGCTCCTGTGTCTGTAACAGCGGGAGGAGCGCTAAGTGGCCAAACTCCCCTTAAACCGGCCCTGACTCAGTCGCGCGATCGCGCGCAGGCGCATGCGTCCGTCTGCGCGTCTTGCGCCTGACGTTGCCATGGCAACAGCGGGCAGAGACAACGCCTAGGTTCCATACGTGAGTGAGGCGGGGAAAAAAGTAGGCCATGCCTCGACAATGTGTACAAAAACAGAGGAACTTAAGAGATTTTCGCATAAAAAAGCCCGAAAGAAGAATTTAGCGGTTTGTTTCGGGCGCATTAGAACAAGCAAATGAGATCAGGTTGACAAAAGACGGCGTAGTAGACGAGGTTGAGGTTCCTATTCTCCAGCTTATTGCTCGAATTTCCCCGTTCCACCTTAAATGGTGCTGCGCCAGTATGTAACTGCTGCACCATTTAAGGTGGAACGGGGAAATTCGAATAAGAATCTGTCTTCAGCCTCATGTCTTTGTGCTAATTAAATGTTTTATCACTCACCATATTGCAGCCTAATACATTATATGTGTTTTGCAGAGCTGAACTCATAACACTGTCAGGTATTTTGTCGCCGAAAAAAAAAAGGTAAAGAAAATCACAGCCTGCCTTAAAATGACCCGTTAGGTGTCCTCACGTTACCCCGGCCAGCCACATTTCCAATCGCATTTTTCCGCCTCAAACCTCAACACCACCGGGCTTCCGTACGGACCACATGCAGGAGAGAGGGATTGGCTGGGTTGCCAGATTGGAGCTCGTGTTCTGTTCACGAGGAAAAGTGCAAAAACTTTCGGACAACCTTTCAAAACTGGCAAAAAGTATGAAGATGTTGAGGTCACTCCACTCAACGAAATGCCCGTGAAGGCTGGTCAGTTCTTGGAGGAGAACAGTCTTTATTTGTTTTATGAATATTTTGAATATGAATCTTCATTTGTTTGTAAATCACTGGAAGGTCTTTTAAAATGTATTAAAGAACAAGAGAGCTTAAACATTAACTTTATGGGCCCAATTGTTTGTTGATTAACAATGACTCTTATCTATCTATCTATCTATCTATCTATCTATCTATTTATTTATTTATTTATTTATTTTCTTGTATCATAAAGTACTCTCTTACAAAAGTTCTTCAAGAATCCTTTAACTCCTTTAAAATAATACTCTTCTGTGATGTACACTCTTAAAAAAGATGGTTCTTCAACGGTTCTTATGTAAAGACAGTGGTTTCTTTGCCTCATGAAAGGTCTTCAAATTGATGGAGAATGTGCTGCAGATGTTTCTATATAGAACCTTTTTTGAAAATGGTTCTACACTCCTAAAAAACATGATTCTTTAAGAGTTCTTTAGGAAAGATTTTTTTTTTTAATAGGACCATGAACACTCAAAGAACCCTTTGTGTGATTAAAGGGTTCTTTGCATCAAGGGTTCTTCAGAATGTGCTGTAGAAGTTCCTACATAGAACCTATTTGAAACAGTTCTGTATCGCAGCCAAAAGGTTCTCCTATTGTTACAATGTAAAGCTTGTAACAATAGAAGAACGCTGTTGGGTGCTATATAGAACTCTTTTCAAAAAGGTTCTCCCTCAATCTGACGAACCCTTTCATGTTGCAAAGAACCCTTTAATAATGCAAAGGGTTCTTTGAGTGTTCGTGGTTCTACGTAGAACCATTATCTTTACTAAAGAACCCTCAAAGAATCATCTTTTTTAATAGTGAAGAACCATTTGCAAAAACGTTCCATATAGAACTACGTATAGCTTATTCTCTATCAGTCTAAAAATCATTTCACCATGCAAAGAACCATTCAGACATGGAACAGTTCTATATAGAAATCATGGTTCCAAATAGAACAATTGCCTTTGCTAAAGAACCACTGAAAAAACATCTTTTTGACAGTGTGCACTGCCTGATGCCTGACACACTATTTTATGGTAGTTCTGAGAAACCTTTCTTAATCTTTTTCTATTTTTTTTTAATTACTATTAATTTACCATCAACATTACATATAAAAACTCATGGGACACTTTTATGTCCCAGTGGTTCTAAGTAGAACCATTTCCATTACCTAAGAACCCTTGAAGAACCATAATTTTTAAGATTATGTATAAGTAGTGGATCACCATTGTTAACATTTATAGATTCCATATATTGAAACAAAGCTGCAAAACCAACCTGTTTTAAATCTGTTGTTTTTCTGATGTCATGAAATCCAAAACATTTACATACATCATCTGATTCAGCCTATATGAGTTAAGCCCCTCCCACTTATACTGAAGTTATAAGGAGTGTTTCTGTCAGGAATGCCTTTTGAATGGGACACAATACAGGGCAGCCAAACAGAACAGAGCTCATTTACATAATTATTCTTAAAGGTACAGTAACAAAAATAGCCTGCTTCATTACAAAGGTTAAATGTAAAAATGAATTATGACTGTTTTTGATATGTAAACACAGACAAATATATATATATATATATATATATATATATATATATATATATATATATATATATCTTTCTACACAAATCTATGTGCTTCCACATCATAGATAGATCAGAGACAATGATCTGCATAATACCAGGTTTTATTGATTCATCTCTTATGAAGTGGAAGTATTATTCGTGCACATGCTGAGGAGTAAGTAGGCCTCATCAGGCCTCATTCCTCTTGCACTGTTGGGATGGAAGTATGGATTAGACAACCGTACGTGTCTTAAAGATCACAAAGGAGGACAGATTATGGATGACTGATTTCGTACTTATTAAATAAACTATGGTAAATAATAATAAATAATTGAGTGTGTATCATTACTCAATATATTGATACTCATAATAAATATTGAATAATTACAAGTAATAATAGTAAAACTACTCCACTGTTCATATTTGCACCGACAATTACTGTACAAATTTACTTTGTATACTTATCTTTACTTATGCTGCTCTCACAGTTCATACTACCTACATTTGTACTCTCTCCACTCACTCGATATATATATAAATATAAGTAAAAATAATATATATATATATATATATATATATATATATATATATATATACATATATAATATTTGTACTTGCGTATTATATTTTTTACCACTCTACCGTCCTTCTGCACTGGTTAGATGCTAACTGCATTTCATTGGCTGTGTACCTGCACTCTGCACAATGACATTCAAGTTTAATCTAATCTAATCTAATCTAATCTAATCTAATCGTTTGGTAACATATAGTCATTACTTTAATTGTAAAATCTTCAACAAGGTAGTCTAACATA